TAGACTTATAAATTAGACATATTTTCTCTATAAATAAACGACGTGAGACAACTTACAAGTGAATATTCTAATATATAGCATAATTAGCTTCAAACTTGTTGATTTAGAATCATGTTGTTCTCGATCAGACTGCACAAATATTGTGAGTATTCATATTATCTACCGCTATTATTTCATGTATTGATGGTTGAGTGGTAGCTTTTGTAGGGGGGTATTAACTCCTTTTTGCTATGTGGTTTAAAATTTTGGTGATAAAATGTGAAATCGTTTTTGTTATGTTGTTTGTAGTATTCATTATTATTACTATGTTGTGATTTCCATACCATTGAGTTTAGCTACGTTATTACTATGTTGTTTAGGCTTATGTTTTACACAGATCAAGCCATGAATAGTCTACGTAAATATTTGTAGTTTATTATATATTGTTTATTAATGCTTATTTTTTACACAAATCAAGCCATGAATAGTATACATGACAATGTAAATATTTGTAGTTTATTAGAATATATGAAATTGACGGTATCACACAATAACAAAGTGGATAAATGATTTGTAAAATCGCTTTTGTCAAACACTTTTATCATATCTAATAATTATCAGCTGACAAAAAATTACAACAAATGTTCAATTATCACAAAAAAAAAATAAATAAATAAATAAATCAGTACGATTTCTTTTGTTTTAACAAATTTTTCAGTTGTCTAAGTACATAAAATTATCAGCTCAATATTTACATGTCACCTATTATTAATAAACTTGTCTTGTACCAATTTTTTTTTTTTTTTAGCAAAATTTATCGAAGATCACGATTTTTTATTTTTTTTTTTGGTACAATAAAAGAGACTAAAAATCTTAAGAGATCGAATTACAAACGTTCCGTGAGTAGGTAACACTAGAGATCACGATTTGATTCGACTTGTATAGTGGTAATTTTAACCCGAACCACATGCCCAACACCAAAAGATCCGACCCGAAGATTATTTTGGTGGGTAAGAAGCCACATCACACAGCTTTTTACCCGGAATTTCTACGATACGTGTCCTCCAATTAACGAACCACTCTCTCCTTAGTCCTTCCCCAGCCCGATTAATTTTACCTTATTGGCCCTCGGCAATCATACAGGGCTATAATCGTCAATTCATACCCACCATTTTCCCCTAATTCATTCTATTCCCCATCGACTTTCTTCATCCTCTCGTCTCGCCCCTCAAATTCAATCCAAACTTTTTTTCTCGTAATTCCGCCTGTGTCCCCTCTCATGGCCGCCATCTCCAGCCCCACCTCAAACCCTAGCTTCATCTCCCCCATGCTGCAGCCCTACCTCGAACAGCAGCAGCAGCAGCAGCACCACCACCACGTCCAGCCGGACCCGCCGCCGGACGACGGATCCTCCCACGACGCCGTCTCCGAAGACTTCAGCCGCGATCCTGCCCCTACTTCCGACAACGATTCCGTTTCTTCCAACCCTAATACAAACCCGAGCTCAAACCCTAGCCCGATCAAGCTCCTCCACGTCTCCTTCAACCAGGATTACGGCTGTTTCGCCACGGGGACCGACCGGGGCTTCCGAATCTACAACTGCGACCCTTTTCGGGAGATCTTCCGGCGCGATTTCGACGGGAACGGCGGCGGTGTTGGCGCCGTCGAGATGCTCTTCCGGTGCAACATCCTTGCCCTGGTCGGCGGCGGGGATGCGCCTCAGTACCCGCTGAACAAGGTCATGATTTGGGACGATCACCAGAGCCGCTGCATCGGGGAGCTTTCCTTCAGGTCGGAAGTGCGTGGGGTCCGGTTGCGAAGGGATCGGATTATTGTTGTCCTCGAGCAGAAGATTTTTGTCTACAATTTCGCGGATTTGAAGCTGCTGCATCAGATCGAGACGATTATGAACCCCAAGGGGCTCTGTGCGGTTTCTCAGGTTACGGGTTCGTTTGTGTTGGTCTGCCCAGGGCTGCAGAAGGGGCAGGTCAGGGTGGAGCATTACGCTTCGAAGAGGACTAAATTCATCATGGCTCATGATTCTAGGATTGCGTGCTTTACGCTCTCTCAAGATGGGAACTTTCTGGCTACGGCTAGCAGTAAGGGAACATTGGTTCGGATATATAATACACATGATGGGAGTTTACTGCAGGAGGTAAAGTGTTGGGGTGTTTAACTATGATTAATTTGCCATTTATTCGTGTGGTCGAGTGTTATTTCATAGTCAAATGCGTTTCCTGGTGGCTGTTTCATGCTGCAGTGTGACACTACATGCTGTTTGGTTTCGATTTGTTTGATTTTTGTTGATGATGAAGCAAGTAGAGTGTATCATACCCTGTGCATAAGAGGTTTTAACTATGTTCAATGGGCTGAGTTGCAAATAATTGCAATTTGACATATATATTGTGTATGGTGCTAGTGTCACTGTATCCCAATCACAAGCCGAAGTCAGATGGACTGTATCCTATTACAAGTTGAAGTCGAATGGATCAAAAGGTTTCAAATATGACTATGGCTGCTTCTATCTGTATCATTTGTTTTGTGGATCTCTACCTATTTGTATAAACATGGGGCTGAAACCTTTGCATTTATTTATTTATTTATTTTCTCTCTAGAAATATTTTCTTGTAAGCTCAAATTATTTCTCTGGTCATAATGTTGTGTTGTAATAATGTGGATTGGGTACATAGTGACTGCTGCCAGTTATTCATGCGGTTTATGTCTATGGATGTAGTGAAAAACTTGTTTTTGTTTGTCGCTTTTGTCTTCTTTTTTTTGTGCTGGCATTGATTTGTCTGAATTTGCCAACAAACGCCTGAGAATAATATCCACTGAAAACCTGGTGTAGGTACGGAGGGGTGCAGACAGGGCAGAAATATATAGTCTGGCATTTTCACCCACAGCTCAGTGGCTGGCAGTCTCAAGTGATAAGGGCACGGTTCATGTTTTTGGTCTTAAGGTTAACACTGGAAATCCTGGAAGCGAAAGGTCGAATAGCCCTGAACCAAATCCTTCTGTTGGGACTTCAAGTTCTTCCTTGTCTTTCATTAAAGGTATAATGATTTTATTACATATGCTCTTTCTGTTGAAAATTACGTCACAGACTGTTCTTTGTGGAAAAGTGATGAAGTTGAATGATATTTGCTTACTTGATGCCCCAGGGCAACTAAGACAGTAAATCAGTTTTTATTTGCACTAGCCCTGTTTGAGAGTTATGTTGGGAGTAAAGAGTCTGAAATTAATTCACATTGGGGCGGATTTATTGAAATAAGTAAAGTGGAACAATGGCAGAAGCGTGTTTACTTCCAACAGCAAGATAATATGCCCAATAGCTATTAAGAGTATCTCTATCGTTACCTTGTCCTTTTATTTGGTTACTTATAAGAAGGTAATAATTAAAGAAAAGGTAAAATAACAATTTGAGTAGCCTTCTTTGCCCAATGCGCCAGGATTCCATATAATCCCATAAACTTCGTCTCATATGTCATCATTGATTTTATTCCTTTCCAAACTGTTCCTTGAGTAAGACTATCCACTGTATCCTGACCCTTTTTCCTGCATCTCTATCAATGTAATAAAATGAAAAACGGAGCTTTATGCCCCATATTTGTTGTGAAATCTTTGATATATTTTTTTTTTTAGTGCTCTGTTTTCTTGATTAACTTTCTCTGTTCTTGTAAATTCCATTTGTTATTTTATGTTCTTTTTATTGCTATTACTACAAATACTTGTGTGTTATAACTAGGAGTGCTGCCCAAGTACTTCAGCTCAGAGTGGTCTGTCGCCCAGTTTCGTTTACCTGAAGGATCACAGTATATTGTTGCTTTTGGCCACCAGAAGAATACAGTGGTAATTCTCGGCTTGGATGGAAGGTCAGTCACATAACACCAACACGCAGTCTCAATAACCGGATATTCCCTCTTGTTCTAGTTAATATCCAGTTACTCTGCTTTTAGTTACCCATATATTCTTCTGGGTTTAACTTTAAGAGGTGTAGAAAATATCGGCAACTCGAGGGTTGACTTAATCGTTTGGAAAACTAAAAAGTGTTTTTGTAATTGACTCGAGTTGGGGGTAGTTTTTTGTTATTACAAACTCCACTCGCCAATTGTCTGAATCTGCTGTCTTTTACAGCCACGGTTATATCTCGGTTAGAACTAATGATTGCTACAATTGGTCTTTGTGCAGTTTCTACAGATGCAAATTCGACCATGCAACTGGTGGGGAGATGATTCAATTGGAGTATCACAATTTTCTGAATCCAGAAGAAGCTTTCTAGCATCGCAATGGTCGATTCGCGAGGATGTAATGCGTTTCTCATCTCATCTGCTTTTTTTTTTTTTCCTGCTAATTTGTGGGTACCACACTAATGTAAATATCCAATGTAAATGTATGTAACCAAGGGTATGAAACCCGGTGATGTGTAAGGGAGTCTTGATGTTAAGAAATGAATCCGCCTGTAAGATTTGTTTATCTGCATGATTTACCCTGCATAATTTGTGTGTGTGTGTGTTTTTCTTTTATTTTTATTTTATTTATTTATTTCTTTTTTTGGCACTACCATATTTCATTGTTTATCTGCATGATTTACCCTGCTTAATTTTTTTTAATTATTAATTTTTTATTTTTTGTTTTTATTTCTTTTGTGGACTACCATATTACCCGTTTATCCAATTCTCTCTTTTGAATTATAGGTTATGTTTTGTAAAATTTCTTTTGAATTATAGGTTATGTTTTGTAAAATTAGCTGATAAGCTAGTTGATAGATGATAAGTTAACTTATAGTTTATCAGTAATTTTTTAGCTTATAGCTTATAGCTTATGTTTTGTAGTTGAATAGCTAGTTTATATGATAAACGTGTTTGGTAAAATTAGTTGATTGATTATCTTATATAAAATTCAACTAGCTTATTTGAAAATTTACTTAAAAAAGTTTATCACATAAGTTTGAGTTTTTTAAAAAGCTCGTCTTACTAAATGAGATTTATTTTAATGCAGAGAGTTTATAAGCTAATCAAATAATCTATAAGTTAACTTAATAATAAAGTTAACGTAACTTGTCACGCTTTCCTACCTAAAGTCCACACAAAAATAAATAAATGGCAATTTGCTTTGAATTTAACCACTATAAGAGCCCAATTCAAAGTACCATATTCTCAACCATTCTCAATAATCTTCGCTTTAATCTCTTGTTTAATTTGGTTTGAATTTTAATTAACAGTAGTAAATAATGGCAATTAAGGTCCACGGATATCCTTACTCACCAGCAGTACAGAAAGTTCTCATCTGCTTAGCTGAAAAAGGTCTCGACTACGAATTAGTTCATATAGATCTGTTGGCCGGTCAACAGAAGGAGGACCCATTCATTTCACTCAATGTAAGTCACAATACATGCATGTAATTAAATTCGTTTAATTACTTACTTTTAAATTTAGGGAAATGCTAGAGTTACATTACGGTACTATCCCGTCGGGTGTTTTAACTGTTGGATTCACGTGTAGTTAGATAAGACAGATGATCCAACTGGTAAAACACTCGACGAGATAGTTCCGTAACGGGACCATAGTATTTTCCTTAAATTTAATAGTGTCTGTTAATTTGATTAAGCACGTGCTAATTGCCTTTCTTTCTTTCTTTCTTCCTTCCTTTCTTTCTTTTTCTTTTTTTTTTATTTATTTATTATTATTATTTTTTTTTTTTT